GGCAAGTCAGCTTACTAAATCTGTAATAGCTCTCTAAATCAAAGATACTCTGATTGGTGTTTCTCTGGAAGACTGTTTCTCCTCTGACTTGCAGCAGCCATCGGTGGGTGGATAAAAATATATTGGGGGCGTCTGGCAGGAGAATAAGTGTGAGAGAATAGTTTGAAGACACTGCTTAGTTTAGCAGATAAACAGCCACTGGCACAGCATGCTTTTCCTTCCCAAAAGACTGTTACAGATCACTCCCAGTAGATTGTTCATATAATCGAAGACTATGATACAAATCTCTCCCAAGCAGATTGTTCATATAATTCATATATTCCCTAAAGAAAGGGACAAACAGAATAAATGTTTGCGCACTTTGGCTCTGTCTCAAATTTCTTAAGGAAACCCTTAGGAATGTAGTGGCTGGAATAAGATACAGAGCCAGCATGCAGTTGTCAGGGGGGAAACATTAAATCGCCAAGGCCTTATGTTGCCTAAGTAAACAGTGTGGGGAGGCAGCTCCTGGTTTCCACATTCTTAGAGGCCACACAATACAAACTGCACATAATTGCTTGAAATGTCAATGTCAATCCCACCACACCAGTTAGACACACCCATACACACCCATATAAAACCAGGAAACACCGTTCCGCCCACGTAGTCTTCCTTCCTCCCTCTCCCAAATCCTTACAACCTAGGCCTTCAACACAAATCTTACAAGCCCTTAACAAAACCTCGACTGAAGGGGGGAGGGGCTACGGCCAGCCTCAAGGGCTGAGCAAGCTCCCAGATCCGCGGCTTTTCCAAGGCAGGCAGCGCCTCGATAGAGCCGAGGATAGAGAGCTCTAGGTAGCGTCACGGGGGAGGCCCCCCGACCGCCCAACAATAAACCAAGGAAAGAAGGAAGCCTCGTCTCAGGGCCGACTCCGTCATTCGGCAGCCCATCTCCGCTCCGAGCTTTGAAGACGGCGGAGTGGAAGACCCGAGCGACGGGCTGCTACTACTGCTACTACTTGAGGTCAGAAAAGGCGGCTAGGAAGGCCCGCCAGAAGCCAGACTTCCCCCTTCCGGGAAAGTCGAGCGAGGAAATCTGCCTTCCGAGTCCCCTGCCCGCAGCGGCGGGCCCCACCAGCGGGCGAGATTCCAGGGGATTCCCCGGCTCGGCCGGCCCCCAACCTCTTACTCTCCTTTCCTAACTCACCGCGCTAAGCTTCTGCTTCGTCCAGAGAGACAGCCGGCTAAAGCGACAGCCGAAAGAGGAGGAGCAGGAAGCGGACCTCCTGCCAGCAGGATACCTTCCCTTGCTGCCCGGCAGGGTGATGTCCCGTTTTGTTCTGTCCCGTCCCGTCCCGTTTCGCACTCCCAGGGCTGCGGTCCGGCTGGAGCTCGCCGCTTGGCTGAACGGCGCTTTAAACAAGCTACCAGGCGCGTAAGGGTTAGGGGGGCTATTTGCCGTTCAATTCCCAAGGAATGGGGGTTCCGATCGAGGCCCTCCGCTGGCTCGAGCAGAAATCCGACCTCTGGGCGCAATGCGTCGCCTCAACTTCCATGCCCAAGTGGGCTTCCAAATGAGAAGAGAAAAGGCGCTTTTAATCTCTTTTTGGCATCGCAGCCACCTCCATGTTTTGCAGATGGGGAAAAAGCACACACCCCCGGACTGCTTTTTTTAATGCAGAAGTTTGGTTTTGTTTCATAGATTTCCACAGTCCTGCCTCCTCCCCATCCCTTCCTCGGCAGTTCCAAAGAGAAATGTAGGAAGCTGATCTGCTGGTCATGCTGCCTATCTGGCTCAGAGAGGGCAAGCTTCTCCCCCTCCTCCCCCCTCATAGGGCAGAGAGAATGACAGGTGAAAATAGGGGAGACCAACTTTTCTTCTCTTTTTATCTCCCCGTTTTCCTCTCCATCCAGCTTGTAAAGAAGGAAAGAAGCCTTTGATATCTGCCAGGATCCCTCTTCTTCAAGTGTTAACAAAACTATAGGGTGTAGGAATGCATTTAATACAGAATGACTGTTTAGAAGAACTTAAGAGCTATCCTGGGTTAAATTGCATGCCTGTCTAATTTATGGTGTCATTTGATATAGTGGCCAGTCAGATGCTCCTAAAAAGTCCAAAGTTCATCATTCGTGATTGGCATTTAGGTCCTGCCTCTGACCCTGGAAGAACCACCATCATGACCAGGTGCCATTGATAATCATATCTTAAATGAATATATTTCCATTTTGAAACAGCTATAGAAAAGGAATACCATATGGCCAAGCTGACAGCCAGTAACTAGAGAACCAGTTTGTATGCCAGCTTAGATTTATCATACTTTACATTTAGAAATATGGGTTGAGCTTTGCTTTATTTAAAGCAAAGATAAAATAAAATCAGTATTGTGTTTATTTTAAATGCACTTCTTGGGACGGAAAAAGCACTTCTGAAATAGGTCACTCTGTATTAAAAAGAGAAAATGCTTGACACCAATCAAATATAAATCTGTAGGTACTGTATGCTGTATATTGTATAGATTGATGAGTTAACTGTTACTGAGATGTTTTTATTTAAATTAAAGATTGGACAGTTTCATGGATTTATATTGTAGATGTTTTGTTTCTGCAAACAATTTTGCTAAAATCTATGGTTGCAAATGTTTCAATGTAACAATATTTATGTAAATCACACTAAGTCACAATATTGCAGTTGCTTAAACATCAAATGAATGAATAAATAAAAAGCCTGGAAAATCTCATGCAATCGTAGCACCAAATGGATTTTCTTGATGGCAAAGAAATAATTGCCTAAGTCATATAATTTTAATGTCCATGGAAAAATCATGCACATATGAAAGAAATATGGACACTCTAGAATCTGGCAGATGCAAGAAGTCATTTGATGGATCAGGCTAACAATCTTTGAAACAATTCCTTTGATTTGCTAATGCAATCCTAACTTGCATTAACAGAGGGATGCAATGGAGATCAAGTGAGGTACTAATACCACTCCATAAAGCCTTAGACCACACCTAAAGTACTGCATCGAGATTTGGTCCCCACATTATAAAAAAGACGTTGAGGAGCTAGAAAAAGTGCAGAGAAGAACAACCAGGATGATTAGTGGGATGGAGACTAAAACATATAAAGACCAGTTACAGGAACTGGGCTTTGCTAATCTAGCAAAGAGAGGGACCAGGGGAGACATGATAGCAGTCTTCCAATATTTGAGGGGTTGCCACAGCGAGGAAGGGGTCAAGATATTTTCTAAAGCGCCTGTAGGCCAGACAAAAAATAACGGATGGAAACTGAACAAGGAGAGATTTAACTTGGAAATAAGGAGAAACTTTCTGACAGTGAGAACAATCAACCAATGGAACAGCTTGCCCTTGGAAGTTGTCGGAGCGCCATCACTTGAGACCTTCAGGAAGAGATTGGACTGCGACTTGTCAGAAATGGTGTAGGGTCTCCCACTTGGGGGGGGGGAGTTGGACTACATGACCTACAAGGTCCCTTCCATCTCTGATTATCTGTTATCTGATTTCAGTAGACACAATGCATTCTAGTAGCTGCTTACATTATTCCACTCGAAATCTAACTGTGATGACTTGGCCACAAAAACAATTTCTTAATAAGAAAGTCAGACAAAATGTCCCAGGGTAACTATATGTTCACTTGCAAAATGGGTGAATGACATCATTGTCATATTTTGGTACTATATCTGGTTCCCAGTGAAAACATTCTTTTGGAGCAAGAACAGTGGCAAATTCCAGCATAAAATTCTCAATTATATTTGCTTTAAATATGATGCGTTGTTTCATTAGTGTTCAGGAATTTATGAAATGCTTTATTGTTACTAAATAGCTATCACATGACAAGTTTTATACAGTAATATGTCTTGCATATAGAAATCTAAAGTCAACATCTGCTACCCAGGTAGCTATTAAAAATCTTTCATAGTATCATGAATATCCATCCATCCATCCACACTGGGAGAAAGGGAAGGTGGGTGCAATAGTGCTGTTTAAAAAATGCTGCTCAAGATTACTTGGTAAAGAACCTGCAGAGCATAGTATATATATATGGGCGCCCAAATATTGAAATATTCCTTAAACCAGTCAAGAGGTATAACCAGAATTTTAACCTACTAATACATTTATAAAGCTTAATGAAATTTGAAACCTTTGACTAGTTAAGGCTTGTTGAATAGTTTTATGAATACAGATTGTATGCATGTGGGTGATATTTTCCCCAGGTACAGCAGGAATAGTCATTCTCTAGTACCCAAACCTTTCCATAAAAGCTTGTGATCACACTTCAGTTTACAAAATAAAATTATAGATAATAGTGCAATACTAATATTAAAGATAATATTATTGATATTTTGGAGCTTTATTTAGGTCAGATAGTATTCTCCATAGACAATATGTCAAATTACATGGAATGCTTTCTTAAATATACTTAGCAAAAAACAAAGGATCTTTACTAATTCCTGGGGTGGGGTGGGGTGTTGTATTGCAGGGTGTCTGGAATCACACAAATCAAGTCACATTATGGCCTCTGTGAAGTCAGCCTTTAGTTCCTATATTGGATTGTTTTCCAAGGCATATTAAGGTTATAGTAGCTTATCAGATTTTGGCAGAGATCTAGAGCATTCCATGTCCTTGTTGCCATGTCCTTGTTGCCATTTCCTGATCAAACGAACTGTTGCAACCCAGATTTGGTAGCTGTCATACCAACTAAATTACAGTATATATCATGTTTAACAAACTATCCTGCAAATCACATTCGGTTTAGTTCCTTTTTTTATGGAACTCTCTGAAACAGGATTACTGTTATTCGTCCTGCAACAATCACACTGGCTTTTGGGATGAGCAATCGGGCTCCAGTCAGAGGAATAATTTTACCCCTGAAAATAAAAAGTACACCTGGTTTTTCAATTAGCATTTCTTGTTCCAGCTGAGGTGCACCTTCCTGGGAAAAGCGCAGCCAAGGAGACAGGCGAACTGCCTGGTCTACTATATTCGGGAAGCCCAGCCAAACTGGGCGGTGACCTTCTAAATTAGGCGAGAGAGCTCCGCAGAGTAGGAAACATGCAAGGATGTTGGAGATGTCAATTCACTTTTGGTTTAATTACGCAGCTGGCTGCAAGTAGGCTAAGCGGCTGCAGTGGACGAAAGATAAGCCAGCTGACATGGAGCCACCGGGAGAGCGTCCTGCATAGATTTGAATCGTTGGTTGGCATCGGTCGCTTTTGCCCTTCAGGCTGTAAGTGCTCCAGCGGGGTTAAGAGAATCGGAGCGTAGGAGGGCGTTTCCTGGATTGCTAAATTCAGTGCTAAGTGCTTTAACTCGGTTGTACTCGGTTCCTGAAAAAAAATACGGAGCTTTTAAAGAATCTGATTGCTTTAGTATAGCAACTTCATCAGTGGGAAGTGGACAGAACCAGGATTTAGACTGACGCCCCGTGTACCTTCCACTGATGTGTCCACTGGAATCCGGTTCAAATCCCAATTTTACGTTAAAGGGTTTGGCAGTTTCTCTGCTGTTTTATTAGCCTGACTTCCTCATTTGTAAAATGTCTTACTCCTATCTTTTTCTGACCAGCGGTCTTATGGTAGAAGATATTTTTGAGTATTACCTCAAAACTGTAGTGATGCACAGAAACAAGTACAACTATAACCTAATATTTACATTATGCTAAGCCATGGATTATTGCATAAGACACAGGTTAATGTATTTAGCTCAAATTGTATAAGAGAAAGCTGTCATAAAAGTTGGTATTTGTTTTATTAAAAAAAGTCTTTTCCAAGAGAATTGGAATGATTTCTTCTGGTTTATCACTCCACTACCTTCTTACAGTTTGCTAAAACAAAAACCATGCTTTACAATACACAAAGATTAAGCCAAAATCAAACCAGATTGATTAAAATAGCATAGGAACCAGACTATCATATTCAACCATCATGTGGTTTGATACTTTAGCTTCATGGATTAAAAGCCAACACAACTTTTGTGTTGTTGCTTTGAGCAGAATAAAGGAATAATATATGAAATTCATGTGATCTGGAAAACTGCTGTGGGGTAAATATACAGACAGCGAGTCTGGGCTCTGCTTGTCCATTTAAATGCTTAGTCAATGCATTGATTCTTTAGCTGGTGTTGCTGCCCAGCAGCACTTAGAAGCAAATCAGTGCTTTGATGATTATGTCAGAATCTGTAGTACTACTGTTAACTTTTTTCTTTACTTTTTTTACAGATCCAGAAAACAGGAGACAAATCGGTCGCAACTTTTGCACAGCTGAAGATCATAGTGTCTCCTACCAACAACTCAAAGATTTGTTGGAATCAAAAGCAGTCCGGCTTATTGATGTTAGAGAAAAATGGGAAATTGCAGAGCATGGAAAAATTCCTGGTTCAATCAGTATTCCATGTAAGTTGCTGTTGAGTGTTTCAGAGCAAGGGGAAAAAAAACAAAAAAAGTCCAGCTCATTGTATACAAGGGGAAAACATGAAATAATCTTATGTGTGGTACTTTCGGTACTTGGATTTGTGCAGCAGGCCAACTCCTACCGTCCAGAAAAGTCAAAGAGGTATAAGCAACAAAACCTACATCGCTACCCAGGTCCTGTCACTTGTGTATTTGTCGAGCATTGGGATGCAAATAGAAAAGGGCAAGATTTGCACTGTGATGTCTTTTTGTGTGTGTGTGTGTATACACACACACATGCATGCATGTATGCCATTGTGGCACATGGGATTCCTACCTAGTGACTCAATTTATGCTTAGCATGAAAATGGCACTCCAGCCAATGGGTCACCATAAAAAAGACCAATGAAATAAATGATGATTGTTTATTTTTACAGTGGGAGAAGTTATGGAAGCTTTACAGATGGACTCAGTATATTTTAAAGAGAAATACAATCAAGATATACCTTCTAAATCAGATCATGTAGTGTTTTCCTGTCTCGCTGGCGTGAGAAGCAAACAGGCTCTAGCTGTTGCAAAATCATTGGGTTTCAGCAGGTAAGTGTAAAGCATTCAGGAAAGATATATGTTAGTATAGTTTTATTGCAAATTAATTGTTTCTAGTTTTATTTTAAAATATTATGGGTATAAAAGGAAAAATACAAATCAGGGGAAAGTGTTTATTCTTTTTAATGTTGCTCTTAAAATACAATGGATAGATTGATCCAATAAATAGCATTTAGCAGTTTTCAAATAACACATCTGAAAATCTAAGCCTAATGTACTATGGATGTACTAAATGTACTAAGAGTTCAAATTTGCCCCAACAAACACTAACCTGCCTTCAAATCATTTGATTCTACATAAATTTTCTTATTCTCCCCACCAAATATGATTGTAGAAGGAAAAACAGTGCCATCATTTAGTTCATTCAGGACAAAGTGTTTAGAACCTTATGGCAAGACCCACATTTGCATCACTGTTTTATTTTCTAATATAGGCATCCCCTTTTCCCGGTTGGGTTTAATGTATTTTAAGGAGTATCAGTCCATTTTTAAAGCAAAATACACTGCTTCTAAATGATTCTTACCCCACAATTCAAAAATGGTGCCAGTATTCAGCCTTTTACTTAGCTGATTAAAAAAAAAGAACAAACTTGGAAGTACTGTGAGTAAATGATGTTTGTAACCTTGTGACATTCAATGTTTGGATTAAAGTATTCTCAGCCAGAGTCTGTTTAAAAATCCTAACATACTTGGCCAAAATGAAGTAGAGTGGCCAAGTACTAAGAATGTCTCATTTAAGAATTAAAGAAGCATTTTATTTTACATCCTTATATTTGCCATTATTCAAAATTATTATGTGGCTGATTTCCAAAAGTATTTAACTAGTGTGATTCAAACTTACTACTTTATCTCTACTAAACATTGTTTACTCTTTGAGGAAGATATTAAGCATGGGTTTTTTTGTTCCCTTACTTGGTATAAAATAAAATTACTATGCCAGAATATTTCTCCTACATCTCTGGTCAGCATACTCTTAAGATCATATTCTTGAAAGTGGTTTGTGCAATAAGAAATGTTATCGAACATTTCTTATGTGCTTTCTTATGTCTTATGTGCTTTCAGAGTTCAGCATTTTCCTGGTGGCTTCAGCGAATGGCTGGAGTATGAATCTTCAAAGAAGAAATGATATCTAGAATACACAAACTGTAGGTAATCTGAAAATGCAGAGGGTGATATCTAATTTTGTTTAAAGAGCATCTATAAAAGGCATCTAGGCATATTAAGACAAGATTATTTTGCCAACAAAGAAAAAACACTGAGATACACTTCAAATGTTTATCCTGATTAACATTATGGAAATTTTTGTTTAAAATTTAAAAACTAATTCAAATAGATTTAAGAAATTTACAACTGATCATTACAATACATTTAGTAATAAATATTTAAGTAAAATGAAGTGGAATTAAGTTGGCTATTTATTAATCAAAATTTATGTAGCTGCCCATCACATGAGAAATTATGTGTATCTCTGGTCATGAAACAAAAATATAAAAATGTTAAGTCCAAAGCTTGGGATAATGGCACTAAAATGTTTAGCCAAATGGTTGTTTTTTTCAACTTCATATTCAGGAATTAAGTCTTAGTCCTGCTTATTGTTCTTGGCTTTCAACTATCTCTAGATATTAAATATTTGCAGAAATAATATCAAGAAATACATTTTTGTACATGCAGAAGAAACTGATTAGAGACATATATGTATTGTATCTGTGATAAGGTTTCCATATGCAACTTTTAAATTAGGGACACAATCTATTTCTACATAAACAACTTCTGTAAAATTGCTGAGATATTACATAACATAAAAACACTGAATTTCTAGTACAGTGTGTTATATGCTGAATGGTATGAGGACCATTATAATCCCACTTTAAAATAATGAAACTGGTAAAATTTTGTTAACTCATTTGAATATAGAACAGTGGTCACCAACCAGTGGGCCGGGGACCACTGGTGATCAGCGAGAAAATTTTGGTGGTCTGCAGAGTAATGTCCCCCCAAAGCACCCCCTAAAGCAATTAATCCAGGCTGTGGGGGAACACAAGGCTTCACCACCCACATGGCCCATGGAAACACAAGGCTTGCGTCACTTACATTGTGAGCAAGGTAGTGAGGGAAGGGGGAAAGGGCAGAGTGGGGAACTTACCCTATGCGCCCCACGCACCTGGCCTGGCCACCGGCCTGTTTCTTTCAGCTTCTTTCTTCTTCTGCTTATGGCTGCATGCAAGGAAAGCAGCAAGTCTTTCTTTCTCTCCTGCAAACTCTGTCAGAAATGAGTCTTTGGGACCCTGCAAGGCATCCTGTTCCAAGAGCCTGCGCCGGCACGGCAAGTCTCTCAAAGACTCATTTCTGGCGGAGTTTGGGGGAGAGAAAGACTTCTGCTTCTGCTGCTTTCCTTGCATGAAGCCAAAAGTCTCTCTCTCTCTCTCTCTCTCTCTCCCCCACTGAGAACAGAGCTGGAGACGGTATCCTGCGATCCCAAATAAAGAATGATCAATCGGTAGGAAAACGGGGTGGGGAATTTTCCTGCAGACTTTTTGGGGGATTTTCCCAGGGTCTCTGGTCCACAGGATTTAAAATTATGCGTTTGGTGGTCCAAAAGGTTGGCGACCCCTGATATAGAATATAGAAAATAGCTCTCCAACCTTTGGGGTATATTTCTCTCCTTATAGCCAGAGAGAAAAAAGGCAAACACATTATTTGCAACTGTGATAATGCACTCCAAAGAAAACTTTTTTATAACAGATGATATGCCCGTGTGTTCTGAATGCAGTACGTGTAAAAATTATTACTTATGGTTCTGAAATAAAATAAGTCAATGTTGTTAATTTTCATTGTTTTATTCATATGCAGCTAGTCCATATTACAAATAAAGTTGAAATCCTAAAGTTAACAAAGTAATTTCCAAAACACAACAGATGTGGTGCCTCAATCAATTCTGTTAGCAAATGTGTGGGACAACATGACCAGCATCAACAAAATTGGCAAAACTAAAAAGGGAACATGAAAAATCTAAAAAAAAAATTAAAATCCTCACAATTGTTTCTGTAAGTCAGTATCCAAACACTCTGTAAAAAAATAACTTCCAACACTTAAGTGCAGAGAGCCCAAGCGTTTGCATACAAAAACACTTTGGTTACCCTTAATTCAGTGACATATCAAGTAGACTCAGGCACTGCTGCTTTTAGATCAAGTTTTAGAACAAGCACCATTTGACAATACTCTTTCAACCAATGTTCCTTTGTTTGAATCATGGCAGAATAATGCTCCCTTGGGTGAAAAGCATCTTAAAGCAGCCTTTCCCAACTGGCACCTTCACTATATACTATCTCCCTAATCTTCCACTAACACAACCACGTTGGTTGGCCTGAAGGCAACGGTAATCTAATAGAACTAGAAGGCATCATGTTGGGGAGAGCTACTTCACACTGAAATACAGGATACTTTTAACTTGTTTTAGGGTCCCAAACAAATAGTCCATGAAAATTTAGGGCTCTGGACTAAATCCCTTTTTAAGTGGGGAAGTCTGACTAAAGAACACAGCAGATGGCCAGAGTTTTAAAAAAGGGAACATCCTGTCTTTGAATGATTGTGTTAATTTGTACAGTAATTTATATTTTATTATGGAATCATTCTCAAATGCTTCTGTTTTCTCAAGAGAAAAGCCATTCCTAGTAACTGGGAAAGCAGAAGGCAAACTTCTAGCACACAACATATTCACCATTATAACCTCAAAGAGGTTAGATTTATTTGATTGGATTGCAAAATACGTCAAGGACTTAATAGCACATTCTTTCCTAAAACAGCCAGAGTTTTCATTATATATATTGCACTTTGGGGGTATCCTGGATTTCCTCTTGCAAACTACAGGTATTGTAGAATATCTCCTTAAACTTCGGATGAGGAATGCAACATTTTATACATTTTAAGGAATTTTTTTATCTCTTTTCCCTAAGGCATTTATTACAGCAGTGCATTCTTAAAACATCCATTGGCAAGTATATATCTGAACAATTAGGATCTCAAATCCAACTTCTCCAGTCATCTCTTGTATTCCATAGTTAAACAACTATAGTTGCAAGAAAGATCCATTCACAGTTATCCTTGTTTGTTTTAAGTTTGTTTAACTCAGCACTATTTCTTTCAAATAACAAAATTTACTATAGTCTGTCCATACTGAATTACATCATTATTTTTATCCAGTTTTTGATTTCTGTTGTATCACAATTCAAATGGGTGTATGTTTAAGGAAAAGCTTTTGTACACTTGATAGAAACTTTGTGTTCTATCTGAAAAGACATTATTGAAACCTTCTGTCCATGTCTTCCATATATGAAAAGATCCCAATGTGTCTTAATCCAAAGTGGTCCACAATTCATTTCTTTGGAATGTCTAAGACTGGCTGTAGCTAGAATTCTGACTTCCATTTGGACCCTGGTCACTTTCACTGTTTGAAACAAAAATATTATAGGAAAGTATTACATTATATATTTATTATTAAAATTACTATAAACACATTTGATTTTAAGTTTAAGATAACCTTTTTTTACTGTGAGCACATTGGCATACATTAAAAATGAAATTCTGCTGCCTGCTCTCAAAGTATATATCTACCCCTACACTTTATTAATATTATATATACACGGCTCAAAAAAATAAAGGGAACACTTTACACAATGTAAAGTATACATTGTGTTACAACAACACAATGTAACTCCAAGTCAATCACACTTCTGTGAAATCAAACTGTTCACTTAGGTAGCAACACTGATTGACAATCAATTGCACATGCTGTTGTGCAAATGGAATAGACAACAGGTGGAAAGCATAGGCAGTTAGCAAGACATCCCCAATAAAGGAGTGGTTTTGCAGGTGGTGACCACAGACCACTTCTCAGTTCCTATGTTTTCTGGCTGATGGTTTGGTCACTTTTGAATGCTGGCGGTGCTTTCACTCTAGTAGTAGCATGAGACAGAGTCTACAACCCACACAAGTGGCTCAGGTAGTGCAGCTCATCCAGGATGGCACATCAATGCGAGCTGTGGCAAGAAGGTTTGCTGTGTCTGTCAGTGTATGTCCAGAGCATGGATGTGCTACCAGAAGACAGGCCAGTACATCAGGAGACGTGGAGGAGGCCATAGGAGGGCAACAACCCAGCATCAGGACCGCTACCTCCACCTTTGTGCAAGGAGGGACAGGAGGAGCACTGCCAGAGCCCTGCAAAATGACCTCCAGCGGGCCACAAATGTGCATGTGGCTACTCAAACAATCAGAAACAGACTCTATGAGGGTGGTATGAGGGCCCGACGTCCACAGGTGGGGGTTGTGCTTACAGCCCAACATCATGCAGGATGTTTGGCATTTGCCAGAGAACACCAAAATTAGCAAATTCATCACTGGCGCCCTGTGCTCCTCACAGATGAAAGCAGGTTCTCACTGAGCACATGTGACAGATGTGACAGGGTCTGGAGATGCCGTGGAGAACATTCTGCTGCCTGCAACATCCTCCAGCATGACCGGTTTGGCAGTGGGTCAGTAATGGTGTGGGGTGGCATTTCTTTAGGGGGCCGCACAGCCCTCCATGTGCTCGCCAGAGGTAGCCTGACTGCCATTAGGTACCGAGATGAGATCCTCAGACCCCTTGTGAGACCATATGCTGGTGCAGTTGGCCCTGGGTTCTTCCTAATGCACGACAATAATAGACCTCACGTGGCTGGAGTGTGTCAGCAGTTCCTGCAAGACGAAGGCATTGATGCTATGGACTGGCCCGCCCGTTCCCCAGACCTGAGTCCAATTGAGCACATCTGGGACACCATGTCTCGCTCCATCCACCAATGCCACGTTGCACCACAGACTGTCCAGGAGTTGGAGGATGCTTTACTTCAGGTGTGGGAGGAGATCCCTCAGGAGACCATCCACCACATCAGGGGCATGCCCAGGCATTGTAGCAAGGTCATACAGGCACGTGGAGGCCACACACACTACTGAGCCTCATTTTGACTTGTTTTAAGGACATTACATCAAAGTTGGATCAGCCTGTAGTGTTTTTTTCCACTTTAATTTTGAGTGTAACTCCAAATCCAGACCTCCCTGGGTTGCTAAATTTGATTTCCATTGATAATTTTTGTCTGATTTTGTTGTCAGCACATTCAGCTATGTAATGAACAAAGTATTTAATAAGAATATTTCATTCATTCAGATCTAGGATGTCTTATTTTTGTGTTCCCTTTATTTTTTTGAGCAGTGTATATTAATCCCTTTCCATTTTGAATACATAGTAGAAAGACGGAACTTGAGAAATCACTCTGTTGATGCTATATGGAACAAAACTGACTAAATCTAAATTATCTGGTTTGGACACCACAAAGCCGCCTTCCAGATGGTAACGAAGAAAACAGGTCATGAAGGCAGATTTCAATCTTGCCAATGAAACATCATCCTAATTTTCCCAAGTTGCAGTGGTGCACGAAATATCTTACCATATGGCATTACTTGCTTTAGTATTTAATATAATTTGATTTAAATAGGTAATATAATTTAAATCACGATAGTACATATTTTTATTTTGATATTCAGGATTGCATAATGTTTTGTTGCCATATGACAAAGAAGAGTGAAATGGCCTTCAGGATCATCTTTGGGGTGATACCTATCCTCATTTGGTCTGGCTGCTACTTTTAATTCAGCAATTTCAATAACTTGACTGTCTGGCAAGGCTGTGTATGCTTCAAAAATGATTTGAAAGTATGCTATCCAGCAGGGGTCTCCAAATTTAAGATTTAAAAAGCATGACTGGGGAATTCTGGGAGATGAAGTTCATAAGACTTAAGGTTGCCAAATTTGGAGAGCCCTGCTATATAGCTTCTGTATATTCACTATTCAGACTATTGTTTCAAGCTTATAAATAAGCCATTGCTTTATAAAGTTGACTCATTAAAATGAATTTGACTGCTAAAGCAGCCTCATTTTAATCTAACTCTCACGAACATTTATTTATTTGATTTGTCAATCGCTTACAAGATAATAAATATAAG